AGGTTGTGACACAAAAGCGTGGACAGGTAATATGTACAAGAGAACCACAATCCAAAATATTAGAGTATCTTTCCAAATAAAATATGCAAGTTAAGGTAGAACAGTCACGGAATAACATGTTATTCAGCACAAACCATCTCTACCTCGGCTATGGCAACTTCTATATCTGTGTTTAGATGAGATCTGGACCTCAGGTGAAAAGATTGAAGAAATTACGTGTACAGTACTAGGAAGTAACCTAAGCTGCTTCTTAATGAGTAGGCCGTGGGATGGAAGTTTGGTTTCACCTACTGATCATGAGTCCTCTTCAAACGGAGGAAAAACATGATGAAAAACATCAAGAGAGCCCATGTAAAAGTCCCAAAAGAGGAAACAAAAGAAGCCTACAAAGGAGAGAAAAACTCTCAAAAAAAACTTCCACCTTTATTCATTCTCTCTAACTATAAGGGGGAAAGAGTGAGAGTATTTGGGCAAGACAGAAAGCGGGGTAGGGTGGGCGGCTAGAGTGTTTGTATCACTTTGAAAAAAATATTATTGGAATAGATATTCTATTTCACCATTCAGATTATACTAAATTATGAACTATAAAATATAAACTATTAAAAAACAAAAAAAAAAAAACTAATAAATCAGGGGTCCTCCCCCATTCAAAGGTATTAGAATACCACACTAAACTCAAAAAAGTAGCTCTCACATGCCTTTAGACTAATCAACCCTTATAGATGATGGATAAATACTAATATTAATACTCGCTTTGTTTCAAAATACAACTTATTTGATTTTTTTATGTATTTTTAAGCAATACTTTTTTATAATATATAAATGATAACTAAACTTTTTTTTTTTGTCAAAATGAAACTACTAAATAAAAATCACATATAAAAAAAATCTAAATTTTCATTCATATACTATATGAAAATATTTTTAAAATTACGTGTAAAAATAATTATACCACTTATATTTTGAAACGAAAGAGGGCAATCAAAAGAGGGTAATCAAAGAAGTATATGAGCTGTCATGATAATGCTAAAGCTTTCAAAAACTTAAAAACTTTTTTCAATCAATGGCCTGAAACATTACTTCCAATTCTTTATTAAGACAAAAGTAACACACTTTTTGCTAATAAACAAACCCACCTGCATCATTCACTGCACTAGGCACACACACTTTTGTTTTTCTTTTTTATTTTTAAGGTTCAGGTCTTTTTGAGTCAACTTTTATTATTGGTATTTACATAATTAAGCATCCTTGTTGATCTTCTTCACTAAAGTACCCACAACCGCTTCCATAGCCGCCCCAGCTGTCATAAACGGGTCTCCCATAACACAGATTGTGTTGGACTTGCCAGCCACGGGAACATGGGCCCCCAGGCCTTCCACTGTAGCAATCACTACAACAAAACCCCAATGGAATCGGTAGAATCTTTGGAGGAAGCGGCACGGGCCTCCCCTCCAGATGCAGACCTAGCTCTACATCTAGAGATAGTTTCACCGGCTCATCCTTAGGCTTAGGCTTAGGCGTAGTTGGAGGCTGAGTCGGAGGCTGAGGCTTGGGATTAGGCGGAGGTGGCTTCTTTTCATCTGGCTTTTTCTTTTCATCTGGCTTTTTTATCTCAATGCTCTTGATGCAGCCACCACCCTTGCAGCATAACTTGTCCCTGATCTTCTCCGGCGAGCAGCACACCACCTTAATTGTCACCTTGTTTGCCTTCTCATCATACTCCTGATCTCGTATTTCTTTAATTAATTTGTTCACAACACAACGACTCAGCCCATTTTGCAGATCAATTTATTCATATACGTTCGGAAATTATATTAACAAAATTGGAGAAAGAGACTCACCAGGAAATTTGCAGAGAAGTTTCTTGACCTTCTTGTAGCATTTTGAGCACTGTAGGTCCACATTCAGCACCATTGTTGTCCCCTGTAAAAGTATGTATAGATGTGCAATACATATTATTGAACGTCGATCACCATATATATCTATATATATATATATATATATGCGCCATGCATGCAGAGAAGGAATTGAATTGAATTTCCGGAAAAGGATTAATTATGAGCGAAATTAAAATTAGGGGGCCATATATATGCATCAAACCAAAATACATAACTATATATATATATATATATATCCTTAATTTTCATCGAGAGAGAGAGGTACAAGCGCCACAGAAAAGAAAGAAGGAAAGGAAAAAATGGAGTAGTATAAATTTAGCACAAACCTTCTCGGCCATGGCTGCTATGGGAGAGAACTTAGGCCAAGCTGATTCTTAATAAGGTAGGGCGAGCGAGGGAGTGGGGTCTGGTTTCACGCACTGAGAGTAGTCAATTGTACTCGTCAATGTTAGTTTTTCCACAAGTGGGTCTAATCGGGCCAATCCCTTTCTTTGGATGTGCTGCCTTTTTCTGTTTTTTTTTTTTAACAATCTACAATTTGGGGAGAGAGGATTTTTTCAAAACATTAGTGAAGGTAAAAACTTTAATTAATAAATTTAAACACTTTAAAATTTAAAAGTAAACCATTAAATCTAAAAATCCATTACCTCTTATTACTTCCACCTTCTCGTATAAAGCAAATCAAAGTCCTTCCTCAACTACCTTAAAAAATATTAAATTATATAGCAAAATCCTAAACTACACGCGTAGGCAGAGCTAGAAGAATAAAGT